CACGGTCACTCACCCTTTGCCGACCTTGGATCTATATATACTCATGCTTCAAGGCCCGGGCAACTCCGACCGATACACTGTACCACAACCTAGGGGATGCTGTTTTGATACAATCCGGTTATTTTTTTTTTTTTTTGTTTGGTATCCGACAACTGAAGGAAAAACTATTATCTTTTTGGAGCGAATGAAATGAAACAAGATCTCAATTTCAGGGCTTGGTTTTGCGTCTCTGGCGTGCAATGAAGGACCCAGCCGCCCCATCCTATGAGCAGCCCAATCGACTTTGCGAAACCCGCGTGAGCTTCTGGGGGCATTTCCAGCATCGGGGTATCAATATGCCACCAGGGGGACCTGAGTGCTGGACCGTTGCGTCCGCTCAGCAAAATCGCAATAAAGGCTCTGACACTGTCGTTTCTCTCTCAGCCCAGCGCCGAGCATGGAATGAATCCATTGATCCTGGTCTCCCCCTGTCTACGTAGTTCCTGCATAACCAGCATTCCGCCGCCGCCCAGGATTAACTCAGATTGCATACTCGGTTGTAAGAGTACGGCGGTATCGTGGTTACTAAGTCTGCCTCACCAGAATTCCTGTTTTTGGGAAGGCGGGGTTTGACCGTTTGATCCGGTTTGTCCATTGAACCATCCATCTATCCAGTCTGGACAGAGCAACACCCGGTGGAAATACTCACCCAAGCACCCTGTGAGCCCTCCCCTCGGCGCCCCTCCCCCTCACCTTCCCCTCTCAACCAAGTCTGACAAGGGGAAAAGCCTTTCAGACGTCACTGTGCTTTGACGCCGCCTGTTGGGAACAAGATGGATTTACAGATCAGCGACATGCATGATGTGAGTCGTGTGTGTGTGTGTGTGACACACCTATATGTAAGTTCTCGTGAGTGGGTTACTAAATGACCACGCGACCGACCTACTACACATGTACCAGTCTGTACAAGTGGGTCCTTAACGTAACAAAAGATCCTGGTCCCGTCCCATATCATAACCATGTGTGCTGCTACTGAGGATCCATGTCGTTCATGATCATATGTTAGGTATATACTCGGTCCTGCAAGCCATGTGCATAGGTCCCAAACTTGGAGAGTTGCTTGATGCGGAACCTTCCCCTACCCCAGGACTTCCTCACTTGCTAGGTACTTACTCAATTCCTACTTACCTGTCTAGCTCATATTCTTCCCCCCGTCTCGAGTCTTACATTCTACCCGACCGCTCGGTTGCGCCGCGCTGGCGAAAAGTCTCGGTCCGGATATCTTTTCATGAGGTCTGTAATCGAGGTATTAAGAACGCATGTCTATAAGCTTTTCCTCCCACTCTTTTTCTTTCTTTTTGTAGTTCTTAGAGTTTGCCTAGCGTTTCAGCTATCAAGGTAATGGATGGAATGTAGGGTAATATATTATAATAGAATGTAACGCCGCAGGAGATGACATGACATAAGGTGCATCGACAAGAAGTGAGGCGAGAGAGGCGAGATGAGGCGAGACAAGCGTGGGAAGGGAAGGGAACGGTAAGGCTTGCCGGGACAAGTTAAGCACAGCAAAGTGAAGCAAGAGAAGGTACGAGATGGGATGGGATAGGATCGAGTAAGTCAGTGAGGCATTTCCGTGGGGGGGAGGAATATAGATACAAGGGAAGAGAGGCAGTCAAGAACGTGACCCCCAGAGACTTGAAAGACTCCGAGCATTGACTACTCACTCGGTACATAGGGCGCTACGTACCGTGCCTAGTAGGACCTAGCGGCCAGACCTGAAGGAATGCCAGTTGGCTTGACTGGGAAGCAAGGAAACTACTCTTGGCGGCTTGAATCTGGCGGGGAAGAACGTTTAGGAGATTGGCGATGGTCGGGGAGATCGAGAGGAGTGGCTGTAGGTGGGGAGGGAGTAGCACCGGGAGTGGGAGAGGACAGGTAAAAGGCGAGAAACAAAGCACCACGGCGCTCAACACCGCATATCTACAGTCCATGGTGGACGCCAGATGAGCGCCAAGGGAGTTGGGGGAAGTATGAACTCCATATAGAGTAGCTGGCTACATGGTGGGAGTTGGTTGCGTAGCCGATATTGCTTACTCTGCCTCGTTCTTTGGCACAGACTCTTGCACTTGCTCTGGTTAGGGATCGAATATGTTCCCGCTACCCCTGAGGGACCGAGGATTTTGCATGCCTGCCTGCCTGTCTGCATACTGGGCAAGTCAGGGGCTTAGTGAAGGGGAGGAAGGACAAGGCTGTCGAGGGGAAGAGTAGGCACAGGCGCGGGGACAAGAATAAGGCCGCAAAGCAGACGCGGACATCAAGACAGTGTCAAGAGTCAAGAGTTATAATGGAATACAACAAGTAACCATGACCACGAGTATGATTGCAAGTCAGCCGTCCAGCAATCCAGGTATACGGCTATAGAAACATGCCACCACAGCCAACTCCTCCACTAGCAGACTGACCATTATCATCATATCGGAAACTCCGTTTCGCGTTTCTTTTTCTCTTTCCCAGTTCAGACAACAAACAAACACCTCCAATCACTTCACCCGTACCTGCTTGATGCTCGTTCATGCACACCTGGACAACGAGATCAAAAGTCCGATCATCAGGCACGCCAGAAAAGGTTGACACTCCAGTGGAATCGTCAGGCTTCTTTGTCAATCCTTCATTCTTGCCGTCCCCGTCTCCCAGAAGAGGACTCGGTCACACCATCCTAGTTCTCTCTCCCCGCTTGAGAGGATCGCCCAACTAGTTTGCGTGTGAAATGCGCTTTGGGTCGCTTCCTCGACCCATGACGCGAATGGTGATGGACGTGTCGTCCCAAAGTAGATCTTTGTTTTGGTGGTGTCATCGTCGGGTTCCATTGTTTTAAGTACAAGCCTTCCGGGACGCCTTTCAAGAGAGCAAATAGCCAAACTTTCACTCGCTGTCACTCTCCTCCTTCTTCACCCCGCTCGCTCTTTTCTTCTCCTTCTTCTCTTTCTTTTCCTTTTTCCTCCGTTTCCGCTCAGCTCTCTCTTCAGGCGTCTCGCCCTCATGTTTAGTCTTGCGCTTCTTCTCCTTATCTTCTGTCTTGGTTTTCAGCGGCGACTCGCCATTTGTCGTCGGGGGCTCTGCCGCCGCTTCTCCTGCGGGAGGGACCGCCACAGTCTCGTCGAGATCCATTTTTCCGGCGGTCTCACCACTGGGAGCAACGGGTAGTGCGGAAAGGACATCCGATTTGGAGGTTGTCTCTCTCACGGGGACGGATTTGGTGCCTTCTGCCGTGGCGGAAGCGCCGTAGTCGGTATACTCAGCGTTCCATTTCGCCGGAGTATTTTCGTTTGGTCGGCCGTATTTCTACATTGGGAGGTTAGAATCAAGAAGAGCGCAAAGGGGGAGGCGAAGGTCATACATCAAGCTTTCCGTCGGATTTCATCTTCTTTTTCTCCAGCGCCACAGGCCCCATGCCCCATCGTCGCGGGTACAGGTCTCTCTCCATGATACATCTCTTGACCTTGGCAACGACACCATGATCACAGGTAGATAGCTCCACTGTTGACATCAGCGCAATACCAAGAGCGATCGCCTCGCCTTTTGTGGTCATTAGAACGACCTCTTCGTGCACTTCGATACCGGCCTCGAACCGCAGTAGACCGGGGATCATCAGTTTGGCGCCGTAGCAGACAGCATTGACCGCACTGTCCTTGACGACAATTCTCTTGTACGTGGTCAGGAGACTCTCGAGCGGGGAAATCACTTTCCGCAGATAAGACTCGTCCCGGTTGTTGTCCATCATCCATTGTGCATCGAGGACATCGTGCAGTGTGACCATACCGTCGCTCTCGGCCATCGCCCCACTCCTGACCCTTCGCAATTCCTGCATGTGCGCACCAACGCCTAGCAGCAATCCCAGATGTACGCACAGAGTCCTGATGTAGGTCCCAGCTTCGCAGCTGACCCAGAAAACGCCGAGATGGCGGTCATTGTCGAATTCGTACAATTTGCTCTCGTGGATGGTTCGGATACGGAGCTGTCGCTTGACGGCGGAGATGAGAGGAGGTCGTTGGAACAGGGCGCCCGTCAGCGTTTCCAGTGCTCGAGCAAATTGCGCTTCTCCTCCAGGCAGTTTGTCATGTAATCGTATGACGCAGACGTATTCTTTTCCGGCACCTTGTTGTGATTTCACCAATCTTGTGGCTCGGTCGATGCAAACAATCAAGCATCCTGTAACTTTGGGGTCAAGTGTGCCGCTGTGGCCGGTTTTTTCTACCCGCAATATTCGCTTGACCCAGGCGACGACTTCGTGGCTGGAAGGATTCGAAGGTTTGTCGAGATTGATGACACCAGAAGAGATGTAGGATTTGAGATCGCGCTTCAATGGTGTACAGCCCACGGGGATGGGCGTGAAGTGGCCGGTTCGAACCAGCACTAGAATCGAGTTAATTGGAGCTTGGGAGGCCATGACCGTGGAGTCTTACGTTTGTCATAATTCTTCAGCAGAAGCGGCCATTCAGATGTAGGAATCTGGGGTGTGATATTTTCTGGTTTAATGCTGAAATCAGCCTCCGCGACCTTCGCCATGTTGGCGGAATTGCGTTGGCCCAAACTGAGTGCTTGCTACGCGCAGACAACTGTGCACGGAGCTAGCTGGGCGCTGGAAAGATCCTGGATAAGTCAAAGGGAAAAGGGATCCTCAGACAAGATACTCTTTTGAATGCCGCAAATACTGATGTGGGAATATGTAGGGCAATACGAAAAAATTAATCTCTGTTCGTTGCGACCGCAAAGCGAAATAAATGGAGTCGAGCAAAATCTTGAACTCGGCGTGTCGGTGCGGAGAGCCAACTAGGCCTCATACAGACTAGTGCGTTCTAGAGTCTTGGCATTATCAAGGCCCGAAATATTTTCAGGCAACGTTCAGACAACGGCATTCAAGACACTGTGTCCAATCCTTGTCATAATATAATCACTCTCTTTCCTCCCATGCTTCGCGAAATTTCTTCATCTCCTCCGTCGCGTCCAATCCGAGACTTCCAATGAGCGGCGGCGTTGATATCATGGACAGATTCTGGAGCACGCCTCCGGTTACTCGGTCGGTGAATCCCCTACGTCTCCCGCCCTTAGGTCTTGCACGGCTAACAATTCAAAGGACTATTGTAGCGGCGATGTTTGTAGAATCTGCACTGGTCCATTCGGGTCTGGTATCTTTCAGGTGGATCTTGTATTACACACCGTGGATATTCAAGTTCCCCCCTGAGATTTGGCGGCTACTTTCCTGCTTCCTTCTGACCGGTGGTGGCTTTTCCTTTGTCTTCGACCTCTATTTCAGTAAGTCACTGTTATCACCTACCCGGATGTGTCTAATTTGATCAGTGTACACATATGGCTCCGGCCTAGAACTGAATTCTCCTCGATTCACGCAACCGGGGGACTTCTTCACCTATGTCTTTTTTGTGGCGACTGCCATCTTGGTGAGTCCTCCATCTCTTTCTTTCCCAAAACTAGTCTTTCCTGTCTTCAAAGTCGACACCTCGCATATCTGCCCGCCCAGTCTTTTCTAGCTGAAGCGGTTCCTGGAAACGAGGGAGATTACCCCTGTGGCACATAAAGCTCCCTTCATTCGCAAATCTGTCAAATGGGACTTTATGCGGTACAGGCCTGGTGGTGGCTCCATTGAGAAAGCTGTTCGTGAAGAATCAATCTGCGTATGGCGGTTTAGGCTTCCTACATCTCATCACATTACCAACTTTCTGGTTTGCCCATAGCCGAGTAATGGCGGTCTGCTGACTTTGGACCAGGCGTCTGGAGGCCTCGTTCTAGGTGGCCGTGTTCTTACGCAAGCCTTACTCCTTGCCTTCATTTACACTTTCGCCCAAGACAACCGGGGCAAGAAAGCACATTTCGTCATTCTCCAAATCCCTGTCGAGCTGCTTCCATGGGCCATGCTCACGCTGACCCTAATAATGGGTGGTCCGCAAGCAGCTCTAGAACAGGCCACTGGTGTCTTTGCCGCCCACCTCTACGACTTTCTGACAAGACTGTATCCGACTTTCCAGGGTGGGAGAAATTACATACAAACTCCAGCAGCAGTCAGGAGATATTTCGGCGCAGATAGAAGCTCATTCACTCACAAAGCTTATGGAACGAGCTTCAGACCTGGCCAAAATATCCCCCAACAGCAGAGTCGCGGTTGGACTAGTGGCTTTTCAAACTCGTGGAGTGGTAGGGGCGCGGGCCGGCGATTGGGAGGCAACTGAAGGACCTCTGATCGGCCATATACTTGAGAAACAACCTGTACAACAACATTGACGAGCCATGAGATACCCGACCAATCAGACATATTCGATTATCCAGCATGATTCCAGTGTCTCCAGTATCATCCTCCAGCATGGATTCCTCTGCCAAGACCAATGCGTGCACCTGAAACGTGCTGGACCTCAGGGGCCGATCCACATGGCATCCACAGCCTTGTCTTCTCCACCGGTTTCATACGCTTTTCGTCTCACGGCTCCTGTGTTTCCGGTCAATCTTCTGCCATATTCTCGACGTGCCCATTGTGACTCGCGACGGCCAAGATGGACCTGCCACGTCACATGCTCCAAAAGCCTGCTTGCCGAGGCCAAGATGCGTCTCGAAGCATTGAGGAAACACTGTCCACGCAATGCTTGAGCCAGACCTCTCGCTTGCACTGGACGCAACTTAACGCGCATGCATATTCGTCGGGAGACTTTTCCGCATCAACAAAAATCATGGATTTTGAGGCTGTGCGTCCAGTGATCATCATTGACGCCCGCTATGATGGCCATGTTCCCTGCCACCAGCCCACAGGCTCGTTGCTCTGAATGCAAGAGAATTGTGGTTCTCGAGTATCACATTTGGATTCACATATCAGAGACTGCTCATGAACGTTTGAAAACTAAGGCGCGGAAAATTTTCCAAGACTCCTCAACCTATATGAATGAAAAGTTCTCCCGCTTTTGACCCTCCTTGGCTGTCTAGACATCCCGTGCCCTTTCCTCTCTTTTCGCACTGATAGTACAGCAGGCAGGCCCTGCTGCCACTTGCCTTCATTTCACTCTCACAGGCTTTCCTTCATTTTGTTTTGACCATATCTCACGCCACCACAGACAACAGGTTGTCCTTTCATTTCTACCGACACAATGGGCCGGTTCCTCATCTTTTCTTCTTTCAGTCTCTCTCTTTTGCTCTTGCCAGGCGTCCTCGCTGGCTTTGAACCAAGCCACAATCTTCCATCATTGGCATTCGCCGCAGCTCTTTGCGTCCCGGGCCTTTTCGTCCCTGGCGTCTCAGGCTATGTGCTGCCAGTGACGCCTTCCCGTGAGGAGATGGCATGGAGACGTGACTCTCTCCTCCCACGAGCGCACAAGCATTCCAACAAGAACAAAGACAATGGTGCTGCTGCTGCCGCTTCAAGCAATCAAACTGTAGTCGACGCCGCCGCTGCTTGTATGGTTGCGGCGATGGAAGCTGCTGTCAACCAGACCGGCGTAGCCAACGTCACCGAGGCCGTGGCCGTGAGCAACACCACCATGGCCGACATCGTCAGTGCGTGTGCCGGAAACTCTACGGACTTGGTCCAGGCTGTGGCTGTGGCCATGAACGAGACGGCAGCCTCAGCCAACGTCACCAGCGACACAGCCGCAAGCAATGTTACAGCTGACGCAACTTCAACCAATTCCACTTCCTCGTCGACCGACACCGATACTGGGAATGGAAACAATGGCAATGGCGACAGCGACAGCAACGGCACCGGCGGGGGTCGAGACAAAAACAACAACAACAACGACAACAATAACGCCATTAACGTGGTCATCGACGACGCATTGCAAGTCATCAACAATGTTATAGGCAAGCGGGGCCTCTCTGACGAGCTCGTCAAGAAAACGAAGCGTGAAAACACGAAATATCGGGATAGCGTGGTGCGCAAGAAGTGGGTCGCCGGGCTGGATGAACGGGCATTCTGAGTATCATCCCCAACATCATACAATCGGTGTATAGGTGTATAGATAGATCTTCTTGGGCGGATTGACTCATGGTGCGGATTTCCAATGAGGAAGGACGGAGCCGCCACGCCAGCGAAGGACGTGGGCGACATTAGCAAAATGGAGAGCGATATTGAATCCAGAGCCAAGAGGGCAAATGGGTCCACATTATCAGAAGCATGTCTGGAAACTTTTTCTGGGGGGAAAGTTTGGGACAAGAAACCAAAAAAGAGTGTGTACCAAATACAATGCAGTGCAATAAAATGAAACGAAAATAGGGGAAAGGGAAAAAAGGATAGATTCCAGTTTGGAAGGGCCAGGATCAGCCCGAAGCCATACGTAGAGCAAGCTGGAAAAGGAAGTTCTTCATGAACCAGGCGGATCATCTGAATCAATCTCCTATTCTATGAGATCCACGCAAAAAGCCTCCCTCCTCTCGATTCCACTCGTGAGGCTAGCTTCATACAAGCGTGCCATGTAGCAGAAGCCCGATGACTCCAATGCTATGCTCTGGTGTAACTGGATGGCGTATCCCGAATAGCTCCTGCTTTTCCTTTCCATTTTGCGTCCGTCGTCACCAGGCGTATTGGATGCCATGGAAATGTTAGAAGTAGTTGAATCGGTGGTCGAATAAATGTCTACGACCCTCAGGCTGTGCAAATCGTGATTTCTTGGTTGTCTTCTCGTGTCGCTAGTGAAACAGGAAGAGTATGGAATCAGCATTCGCATCCCCAGTTGCCACTCTCTGCTTGCGTCCATATCATCCAACCTCCCAGTTCACATTTTGACTCGTAGAAGGTATCGTAGTCTGATCTGAGCTACGTCGTAAACGATGTATTCGTTGTACAGAAGGTATGCATTGGGCTCATTAGTCGGACCTGGCGGATGATTGACCACATCAGGCATTTTAATACCTATCAGGCTTGGGTGAATGCAGCTAGCATCTTTCCAGACTGAAGGACCGGTTTGACCCACGCCCCAGGTGGAAATGCAGCTGTTCTCCTTGACGCGGTCCCCGGCGTGGGAATCAGCATGTGTGAGTTTCAGAGGCGGGGTGCCCAGTTCAGCCTCGCAAAGAAGGAGCAAACCGTTCCCGCCACTATTGTACGATGCACAGTAGCCAGCACTTTTTGAGCTCATATCCGCAAGGTAGACCCCTTTTCCAAACATGTAGCCTGATACCGGGGCTTCTGGTGGTGCAATCCGCAAACCTTGGCTGAGGATACCACCAAAGTTGGTGACGCGTGATCCGTGCCAAAGTAAACGACGATCACTCTTTGATCCGAGATTTGCGTACGGTGACTGGCCGAGTCGGTCAGATTCACCATTGCGCTCGATGCGGAAGATATCCTGGACCGCGTACTTGACGCCATGGGTGGTACCAGTTGACTTATTCAGGTAGTGGAAAATCTCGGCGAATTCTTGACTGTCTTGATCCAAAGGAACCATCTCTTTCATGCCGAGTCCTTGGTATTGTCTGTCCAACATGTGAAGAGACTTGTGTTCCGCAACCGCAGCGGATTTCATGATCTCATTGGCCAATTGCATATCTGTCAACGTCTCTAGGAGTTGAATTTCTTTCTGCAACACAATTAGCGAGGAGGCTTGACAGCGACGACAGTTATGCGCACGTACCTTAATGGAATCCATATCCTTGAGGATGGGTAGAGATCGGCGACCAACAACATGTGGCACCAGTGAGAAGTACTGATTACTTCTGTCCATGACGGCTTGTCCTTGTGACTCTCCCATGACTGTGGCCGCAGAAGGGTCGGCAATGAGCAAGGCCAGCTCTTTGAGAACTTCATAACCCTTGAGGAGAGTCTTCTTGCTAAGCTTCCCAAGCGGCATTTTGTTTGCGTCGTAGTTAAGGTCAGCCATGGTGTTATTGAAGAATTGCAGGTTAAAGATGAGTTCCATCAGACGCTGGACCGGCGGCACAAGTTTGCTCTCGGCAAAGGCCTTTTCTTTCCTAGGAGAGTCATCTTTTGGCCTCACTTGCACGGCGCCCTTCTCAGCCTCGTCCTCCGACTCTGCGTAGTTGATTTCGAGATAGGCGTACTTGCCCTTCTTGGACGGTGCATCCCTATTTTCCCAAGTGAGACCAGACTTCTCTTTGAATTTCATCTCGAACAACCGAAGTGCATCGTCAAGCGAGCTGTCACCGAGCAACTTGCTCTGACCATTCTCACCCACACGACCCCAGCGTGTCCCTATGCTATCGTTAGGGTCAAAGATCTGTCTCGCCGACACAGAACTTTGGGGAACCACAGAAAACACTGGTACGAATGTCAAGGGAAACTTACAAGTGTAGAATTCCTTTCTCCTTCTCAAGAGCTGTAATCTGTAGAATTTGTTGTTGTTTACTTTTGCATCAGACTTGTTCAACGTAGCGTCGTAAATCGTGCCGCTGTCGTCCACGTGAACGGCGTAGTATGGAGCGCAGATGACAAACTGATCTACTGGAACTTGGACCGTTTTGATAGCTGAGACAGCGGTAGGCAGATCGGGTGGTTTAGATGCTTTGGTTTTCTTGGTCGGTTTGAGATCATCCTCATTGTCGTCATCTTTCCTAGAGCGCTTTAGCGACCTGGCCGCCGCGGTTTGAGGAGGTTTGGGCTCGTTATCGTTCGCTACGTCGTCGTCATTCGTTGGTGAATCCTTGAGAAGATATTGCTCAATGTCAACCGGTGCACTCGAGGCCAGAGACGCAGCAAGCCATTCGTAAATGACAATTATCGTATTAGGGTTCTTTTGGGCTTGAGTAATACGACCGAGTTTCTTGTCAAACTGAGCGCGAGTGGCGATGAGGTGTGTACATTGGCTCGGCGACGTCGTGTAAGAACCGCCACAGTCGAAAATGTCAGTCTTCAGTTCCGCAACACTTTTGCGTGAGAGTTCAGGATGCGCGCTGGGGTTATACGCAGCGAAGCTGATAGTAACGCCGTCCAGCGCTGGGACAGCAGGTTGGGAAGGCTGCTTGATTCGAACCATTTTCCTGGGAGCTTGGCCTAGAGGGGGTGCGAGAGGGCGAGAGATGCATGGGTCAAAAGAGTGAGAGCGACAGACCTTCGTTATTTATGGCATGGGCATTTCGAAGAAGCATTGGAGGGTAAAGGCAACAGCTCCTCGTTCTCAGGCAGTTACCTGGTAGTGGAGCTGATATTTGGGTGAGAAACAGGAGAAACAGGAGAAACAGGCAAAGCTTCAGGCGACAATTCACCAAACGCGCCGAGGGGAAAAGTTAGCCGACGCGAACTCACGTGACATGCGCGACGCCGCCGGTGACGTAGTTGGAAACTCTGTCGACTGGCGCATCCTGCGCATCTAAAGAGAACAATATAACAGACGAACGGCCTGAGCGGCATTGCAGCACCGGTCCCAGAGAGCAAAAGAATGGCCGACAAGGCTCGCACTGACACAAACCCTTTCTTGCGCTGGCCACTTTACGTCTACGATCTGCCGCCGGAACTGCTATTCACCTTCACGCTTGCTGGAGGGGAACAGCCGCAGGCGCAGGCGCAAGAGTCACAGTCCGAAGCGAGACCTCCAAGTCGACAGAACAGTCTCGGCGAAGATGGTATTGCAACTTCAACGTCATGCGCGCTGTGCAAAGTCGCCTTCGACAATGTCCAAGACCAGCGACTGCATGTCAAGTCGGATTTCCACCGATACAACCTCAAACTAAGCATAAAGGGAATCTCTCCAATTGATGAATCTACTTTTACGAGGATGATTGGTGATTTGGACGAGTCGCTCTCCGGATCAGACTCCGAAGAGTCAGATGAGGACGATGTAGAGGACACAAAAGGCGGAGACAACACCTTAACTGCTCTACTCAGGCGGCAGGCCAGGATATCGCATCCACAACCGACCGGTGACACAGAAGGCTCCAAAAAGCGGGGGTTTGGCAATGCCCCGTTGTTATGGTTGTCAAGTCCTAGGATTGGAAACGATGTTGGCTTGGGCATCTACCGGGCTATATTATCAAACGAGGAGCAAGAACAAGCATCCACTTCCCTTGTAGAGATCCTTAAGACGAAGCAGCTTAAACCGACAATGCCAAAACAGGGTGGGAGGTCTCACGGAGGCCCAACACACGCTGGCGCAAATGATCCTCACTTCTTCCTCTGCATGATCGGGGGCGGTCATTTTGCCGCCATGGTCGTCTCTTTGGTACCGGAATTAAGGAAAGGACCAGGTGGCATTGAGGAGCGCCACGCAGTTGTCAGAGCCCACAAGACCTTCCACCGATATACTACGAGACGGAAACAAGGTGGCTCTCAGACCGCAAATGACAACGCAAAGGGAAACGCCCATTCAGCGGGTTCATCCATTCGGAGGTACAACGAGATGGCTCTAGAGGCAGACGTGAGAGCTGTATTATCGGAGTGGAAAGAGATGATTGACTCCGCTGAATTGCTCTTCATTCGAGCGACCGGAAGCACCAACAGAAGAACCTTGTTCGGACCCTACGACGGTCAGGTCTTGAGGAGCAATGACAAGAGGATACGTGGGTTTCCTTTCAATACTCGTCGGGCGACTCAAGCAGAGCTTCTGCGTTCATTTCATGAGCTTACGAGGTTGAAAGTGGGGAAATTTGTTGAGCCGGCTGCTGAGAAGCGTTCACTCGAGAAACCTGCTACGAAACCGAAACCGAAACCGCAAGCATCAAAGCTTAGTGAGGAAGAGGAGACCGCTCGGTTTCACACTTCTCAATTACAAGGCCTTATTCGCCGTTCAAAGGCGCCAGGGGTCTTACTTTATTTAACCAAGAACGAACTGTCGCCAGATTTCACCTTCTTTCCCCCTTCTGACCACCATCACGCCCCGACTCCGCTCCACTTCTCTGCGTCGACCAATTCGCCGGCATTGGTATTAGCCCTCCTCACCAAAGCAAAGGCCGACCCGACCATAAGGAACGGCGACGGCAGAACGGCGTACGATATTGCCGGTGACCCCAAAACTAGAGACGCCTTCCGCATCGCTCGACACCAACTCGGCGACAGTGCCTTCGACTGGTCCGCAGCGCACGTCCCCTCACCGCTCTCGCAAGAAGAAGCGGACGCAAAAGCGGTACAGGAGAAAGCGGCCTCTAACGCGGCCGAGGCACAGCGTAGAAAAGCCGGCCTAGAACACCTCCGGCTGGAAGAGGAAAAACGCAATTTGAGCAGGATGGAAAAGAAGGCAGGGGCGGGGAAGACGCTCGCAGTAGCTGCAGCGGAGAAAACCGGCGCAGAGAAGCGAGAGGAAGAGGTCAGAGGATTGACTCCCGAAATGCGCATGAGGCTGGAGAGGGAAAGGAGGGCAAGGGCGGCTGAGGAAAGAATCCGGCGCATGCAGGGGGCGGGTTGAGTTAGCTTTCAAAGAGACGTGGGAGGAAAATTCCGAGGAGCGAAACTGGCAGCTTTTTCTGGTAGAGGAATCTATCGGAAAATCCACAAGGTCAAGCCGCTCAATTCAGCATCCATGTTTCCCGGCATGCGACTTCACTCTTCTTAGGCACAAACACCTGTCCCACCTGACTGCCTGCTGGCGTCCATGCGCAAAGCATCTACGCGAAGCTTCTTCAGAACCACACTCTCGATCCCCTACGCAGCACCCATCCGTCTCTTCGGCGATCAACTCATCACCAAAGAATCTCACGATTCCCGGCCTCACACCACGATCTCATGCTCCTTGAACAAGGGGAAATTCCTCACGAGGTGATCCCTCGCGGCTTGATAGTCATTTTCCAGCACTTGCCTATGACGTTCGCTCCGGATGGTGATGTCGCATTTATACCCGTTGGGGCGGATGTTGAATCCGTCCGAGTAGTCGTACGTGTCGTAGACGTAGCCCTTGGTCGGGCGGATGTCGAAGCACCACAGCACCCGTGCCAGGGCGATGTACAGATTGTTCGACGCGAGGTCCGCCCCGGGGCAGATGCGGCGGCCCCAGCCGAACGAGGAGTGGCCCAGTTTTGAAGGATGCGAGATGCCGCGCTCCACGGGTGTGGACGCGAGGTAGTCCTTGGGCAGGTAGCCCAGCGACGCGGGGTCGTCGACGTCCAGGAAGCGCAGTGGGTTGAAGTGGTCCGGGTTCGGGTAGTATTGCTCGTTGAGGTTGATGGCCCAGCTGTTCCCGAGGATGTTCGTGCCCTTGGGGATGTAGTAGCCCTGGTATGTGTCTGCTTCGGTGCTGGCATGCGGAGTCCCCCCCAGCACAGCGACGGGGCGCCAGCGAAGGGCTTCCTTGCAAATGGCCTTGATGTATGGGAGCGAGGGTTCATCCATGTAGCCCGGGAGGCGATCTGAGCCGATCACGGCGTCGAGCTCGGCGTGTGCGGCCGTGAGGACTTCTTGGTTCGTTATGATCGCTAGGATCGCGGAGGAAAGAGTCGACGCTGTGGTGTCTGCTCCCGCGCCGAATACTGACGCGGGTAAACTCGCAAAGTCCCTCTCACGCAGCAGAGCGAATGCAGAGGGGTCCGCAGCGCGATTCTCCAGAAGCTGCTTTGCCAGACTGTTGGGAAGGGGTGGGGCGCCTGGTTTCTTCGCATTTTCAATGTCCTCGCGAACGTAATTGAGCAGTTGCGCATTAGCTTGCTCCTCCTCCTTGCCCCAGGATTTGATCTCTCGCTTCCAAGGTGCCAATGCGTCAGGAACATATTTTAGGATAGGGAATGATTCGACAAGATATCGACCGGGGACGTTGAGAGCAGCATTCCAGTGCATGATCTTCATGCGTTGGCGTATGATCGGCGATTGCATACTGTCGATACGGTGTCCGTAGGCGATTGTAAACACGATTGAGGCTGTGAAGCGATTCAGGAGGTTGTCCAAGTCTTCTGGATGCTCGAGAAGTTGATGACAGAGACGTGCGGCTTCAGCTTCCTGGACAGGTTTGTAGTGTTGAAGCGCCCTCTGGGTGAGCACACTGTGGAGGGCCTTCCGACGGACGGACCAGTCCTTGCCGTATGGTTGCACGAGGATGCTGCTCATGTCCCAGAAGATTTCTCCCATGGCAACGAAACGAGGGCGCGAACTGTACTTGTGAGAACGCTTCTCGAGCAAATCGACGGCCACATTAGGATCAGAAATGATCACCGTCGGTCGACGACCGAACCACAAGGTGTAAATCGGCCCATACTTTCTCGACCATTCTTGGAACTGAATCCATGGGTATTTTGCCGGAACGTCCAATTTGTTACCAATGAAGGGCAGCGGCTGAGGGCCTGGAGGCATTCGTTTCCACAGGATCACGTCGTGAATCACAACACCAAGCACTCCCAGCAACAACAGACCTGTGACACCGGACCAGACATAGAAGATGGTAGACCAACTCATCCTTGATGAGGTGCACCAACAGAGTCGCAGTATCTCACTCTGAATCGTGTCAGAAATGGTCACTCAGCTTATTGGGATCAATGAGAGGCAACAACAGCGTAGAAGGACGAAGACATACAGCTGCGAAAGAGTCCTGCGCGAGTATTCTGGCAGAGGTACATAGAGAGAGAGAATCTAGGAAAATTGGGGAGACAACGGAGCATTGCCGTTGACTCCCCTGCACCGGTTCTGGAAAGCTGGGAGCCCTGAACCTAATATCTCTTCTTCCGGTCAATAACGCATCCATCATTGGTGGACAAAACGCCTGCCACATCGGCTGAGGTACCTTTCATGGAGAGAAGATCCGCTCTTCGTGGGGCGGCAATGCATGTGCGGAGAAGGCCCATCGCACGTCAAAGCCCGACAGCGTCGAGATCTTCGGCAGTTGTAAGTGTTGACGAGGTGCCGGAAAACCCCCATTTCGACAATTGCCTCTCCATACCGTCCATCGACTCTCGATTTGGATAGTGGATTGCGCCAGTGGCAATCCACTCGTGGAAAATGAATGGGAACCGAAGATGGTGCCTGGGGCCGAGAGAGTCGAGGCGACCTGGACCTGCAACCGCCTCCTTTCAAGCGACCCGGAAGGTTTATGTAGACCGTCAGGATTGACTCGGATGAAAAATGCCCTCAGACCTGTCTCAGCATTTGATTTTGGGACAAGCATTCAGACGAAAGCGACCCATACAAGATGTCCAGCTTCGCAAGGCTACCTCCGTCCGGCATCAGGGTGATTATTGTCGGTGCTGGATTTGCTGGACTGTGTGCCGCAATAGAATGTGATCGGAAGGGACATTCTGTGATATTACTGGAGAGAGTTCCGGAACTGAAGCCCCTGGGAGATATCATTAGTTTTTCGTCAAATTCGGGTCATATCTTCGAACGATGGGAAGGCGTTGTTGAGGAGCTTGAACCAATCAGCCATCACAGTGAAGGCCTTGATTTTTATGATTGGAAAGGAAACTTCGCTACAAGGCAAGTATGGGATGTCGAGAAGCAATGGGGCAGACGGATCAACGGCCACCGGGGAGAGATCCACCACGTTGTCTTCCAGCACGCCAAAGCCAGGGGAATTGATATCCGGCTCGGTCAACAAGTGGCGGATTATTTCGAGACGGACACAGAAGCGGGCGTGGTCGTGAACGGCGAGAGGCTAGTGGCCGACTGTGTGTTTGCCGCCGAAGGCGTCAAGTCAGCGGGAAGGAAGATTGTGCTGGGTTTTGAAGACCGACCCAAAGCCTCGGGATATGCCGTGTATCGATCATGGTTTCCCTCCGACGATCTAGCTAAGAACGAAAGGACGAAGCATTTGGTGCTGAATGGCGACTCTCATTCCGGATGGGTAAGCCCGTTCCTCTCATGCTCGACGTTTCAGTCCCTGACCTCTGCTGCAGATCGGCGAAGACAAGCATTTCCTGGCCGCATCAATAAAGAACGGCACAGAATTCAGCTGGGTTCTGACGCACAAAGATGATGCGGACATTGATGAGGACTGGCAATTCCCAGGCGACAAGGAAGAGGTCAAGAGGAATTTGCAAGGCTGGGCTCCAATAGTTCACGACATTGTTGATGCCACACCTCCAGACCGACTCGTCGATTACAAGCTCGTCTTTCGGGATCCATTGCCAACCTTCATCTCGCCCAAGGCTCGGATTGCATTGATCGGTGATGCTGCACACCCCTTCTTACCAACATCAATCCAAGGAGCAAGTCAATCGATGGAAGACGGGGTGACACTTGCGGTCACGCTCGAGAAAAGCGGCAAGGACCACGTTCCCCGAGCCATTCGGGCATATGAAGCCATCCGGTATGAGCGCGTCCACAGGGCGCAGAAGACTGGCGTCACCACGCGCGAACAATGGCACAAGGCCGATTGGGACAAGATATGGAAGGATGTCAAGTCTTTGCACCTGAAGCGGGAGGCCTGGCTTCTGGACTTTGACGCGGAAAAACACGCGTACGAGGTTGTCGACGATGTGCTGAAGAAGCTCGATCGGGGCGTGTCGACGAGGACTGACGGCGTAACAGAGCCAGTTCCCAATGGAGTGCAGACGAGACTAGCTCAAGAGATTGACCAGCTCGCATAGCCTATAGTAGACGTACCGTAGCAGCAGCAAAGTCGTGAAAGAAATGTTATTGAGTGACTGAGTAAGAGGGATGATTAAGTCAATGGATGTCAACAGTTGTCGGCCACTTCCCGCAGCTTGCGCAGGTTGTCGCGGTGCACACTTTATCCTCACCACAGTCCACGCCTCGTTTCTCGTGTCCGCCCGAGTCTTCTTCTGACCTCTTCAATTTCACTCTTCGTCTTGTCGACTAGCTGAGCTTTGTAGCTGATATGCTACCTTCATGGCCTCCCTTCGAATACCTACGCCTTTCTGTTGCTGCAAAATGTTGCCATTAGCGTTGAGCTGGTCCGCCGCCGACTAACTGATGCTGTCGGAATTGCTCTTCAACCCCATGCAAGCCACGATTTGAGACACATGCCTAAGGACAATCTGTACGAACCGCCGTCGAACAGGACATGGAATAATGTGCACCGACTCCTACAGAGGTCTCAAAGCCACCCGACTCCCAATCTGGCAACTAACATTGACACACACTGCCATAGGCAACAACAGTCTGCGAGTAGCGGTCAACACGAAGCTGAGATATCCTTCCACCTCTACAGAGCCACTTAAACTGCCAGGATGATGTCAGTGAGCACGCGTCCTTGAAGCGAGTGTCGGTGTTTGAAGAGATGGAATTCCACCAAAGTCTTGAAGGGCTGGTTCACAACAGTGCACCATCCGAAGATGGACCCCACAATCTCCCACTTGGGCGAGCTGGGGTAGATGCAAGTCCCAATGCGTCTCGCTCAATCTATTCCACCACAGTTCGGGCGACTTGGGGGGTTTCTGTCCCTATCACCGCTGATCCCTAGACCTACGTCCTAGGCATGGTATCCCTCTTGACAGCTCGTCAGTGGGAGTATTCCGGTATCCCCTC